CCCTGGGTCCATTGGGATTGCGGGATTGGGGCTCATAGGGACCGTGCCTTCCCCTCCCCTGGGTCCATTGGGATTGCGGGATTGGGGTTTATAGGGACCGTGCCTTCCCCTTCCCTGGATCCATTGGAATTGCGGGATTGGGGTTTTATAGGGATCGTGCCTTCCCCTTCCCTGGATCCATTGGGATTGCGGGATTGGGGTTTTATAGGGATCGTGCCTTCCCCTTCCCTGGATCCATTGGGATTGTGGGATTGGGGTTTATACGGACCCTGCCTTCCCCTTCCCTGGATCCATTGGGATTGCGGGATTGGGGTTTATACGGACCCTGCCTTCCCCTTCCCTGTGTCCTTGGGATTATGGGGTTCGGACTCATGGGGACCATGCCTTCCCCTTGCCTGGGTCCCTTGGGATTGCAGGATTAGGGCTCATGGGGACCGTGCCTTCCTCTTCCCTGGGTCCCTTGGGGTTGTGGGGTTTGGGCTCATGGAGACCGTGCCTTCCACTTCCCTGCACCGTCCCCCTTTCACTGCACCCTTCCTTCCCCTTCACTGCACGGTTTCCTCCTCTTTCCTGCACCGGTTCCCCTTTCCCTGCACTGTTCCCCTTTCCCTACGCTCTTGACGTTTCCCTGAACCGTCCCTTCCTCTTCCCTGCACCGCTCCCTCGTTCCCTGCACTGTTCTGTCTTTCCCTGCCCCGTCCCCCTTTCTCTACATCATTCCCCTTCACTGCACTGTTCCTTCCCCTTCCCTGCACCGTTCCCCCTTCCCTGAACTGTTCCCCCTTTCCCTGCATCTTTCCCCTTTTACCTGCACTATTCCTGCTGTACTGTTTCCTCCCCTTCCCTGCCCTGTTCCTCATTCCTGCTCTGTTCCTTCTTTCCCTGCCCACTTCCCCTTACCCGGTGTCATTCCCCTTTTAATACCTTGTCCCCCTTCCCTGTACCATTCCCTTTTCCCTGCATCATTCACCTTTCCCTGCACCATTTCTTCTTCTCAGAGCTGCTGGGGATCTGCTCTGGTCATCCACAGATCCTAAGAAAATCCTTGAGGCTTTTTTATCCAGAATAAAGCAGGACTGCAGGGAGGGCTGCTTTTGCTGCTCAGCTGCTAGTTGTGTTCACTTCTGAGACAAAACAGAGAGCATTTGATAAAATTTCTATTTTTTTCTGGTGCTAGAAAAGTTTGAAAGGAGTGGACCCACCCTGGGTGCTACTCCAACCTCTSTGTGCCTCAGTTTCCCCATGCAGAGAAAATTCCTTTTAATTTTTTTTTACCCTAGCAATTAATTTTCATTATTTAAGCTAAAATGAATTTTATTTTACCTTACACTTTATAGGGTAGAGGGAACAGGTCAGCACGGCAGTATCTTAACTCCGCATAGAAAGAAAGTAATTCACATGGTTCCAAAGCTCAAGAGATCAGTGTAGAAGCAACTGTGCACAATAAATTTAGGCTTATCTCCTTTTTTGGGTTAACTTTGAGATAAATCGAGGTCATGTGCTGTCCCAGGCTAAATACTAAATACTTCCTTTGTTAAAGACGGGAAGAGAAGTTTTGAAACAAAGCAGGAAGCCACCAAAACTGCTTATTTGCAGATCTCCCTCTGGAAATTAATTTCTCCTAGGAAATGATTACCTCAAAGACCTCCATCCCCTGTCAGATGGGGTTGAAATTGCTCAGCAGCTGAAAACATTTAGAGAAGGCAGACAGGCAGATGGGCGTGAGCCCAAAATCTTCTTTTCCTAAAAAAATTGGGTCACACGCAAGAGAGATGGCAGCAACGGGGCTGAGAAATGCCAGGAGGGAGCCTGGGCGGGAGGCAGGATCATCCCTGTGCTTCTTCCAGGGAGGCACCATCCTCATGCAGGGCAGGTATGAATTGGTGTTATTATCTTACTTAAGAAAGCGCCCAAATTGCGTTAAATCTCCCCAGACAGCCACTAAGCAGCAGCAGCACTGATGGCCTGAGAAAGTGATGGCAAAGAACGCTGAGAAATGGAATTAATCCCGTTTTTCTGCACTGACCTGGCTGAAATGGGGGATTTCAGGAAGAGGAAAACGCTGCCAGGGGACAGATTGCTGCCCACCTCGACGTGCAGGCATGGACAGCTCCCACTGGGATCGCAGATGTCCCTGTCCCTTCGGTGGAGCCCTGGCTTTGTCACCTGTTTGGGACACAGCAGCCTCCAGGACCTGGGTTAAGAGAGACAGAGCTGAACCTAAAACACAAAGTGGGATTTAAGGAGAATAAGGAGAATTTGGACTTGCTCAGGGCTTCTGGGGAATATCTGCCTCTGTCCTTGCTGGACATTGTGGGTGAGCCCTGGGGCAGGAGCTGAGCTGGGAGGCTCTCTGTGTCCCTGAAAGGAGGAAGCTGCTTCCAAGTCGACAGCAAAACCTCGTTAAGGAATTTCTCCCCAACCCCAAATCCCCTCCTGGGCACAGCTGAGCTGAGCAGCCCTTGTTTCACAGCCCTGTCTCCATGCCCGGGTGGTGAACCAGATCAGGGCTGCTCTGAGTTAAAAATAACCCTTCTCTCCTTTTCTTTTTTCTGCTTTATTTTTAACTCAGAGCAACTCCTCGATTTAGCTCACTCAGGGGAGCAGATGCTCATCCCACCGCCCCATCTGGATAAAAATCCAGCTGCTGGAGGTGCAGAGCGGGTCAGAGGGGATTATTTCGTTATTATCACCTATGCCACAGCACCAATGATGTCTGATTTCATTAYTGTCACCCCGTGGAGACCCGAGGGGACGCTGAGCTCAGCCCGTCCCTCCCGAGGCTCCTGTGATGCAACTGGAACACTTTGCCCAGTGACTCATGACATTCATGGAAAGAAGAAAGAAGCTTCAGTTTCTTTTTCAGCTGAGGGAGCAGACCTGCCCCTTGCTTTTTCTATCCTAAGAAAAACCCATGCGGGAGAAGGAAAAAACGGGAAAGGATCCCTCGGGGCAGCTGAGCTCGTTTTCTGGGTGCTCCCAAGGTTCCAGAAAGCCCCTTGCCTTTTTTCTGGATGGCCCCTTTGGAGMTTGAGAGTTTTCCTCCCCTCTGGGAGCCTCTGATGACAAATCTGCAGCTGAACTACACCCTGTTCTTGCTGCCCTTTGAAAGGAAAAAAAAAAAAAAAAAGTGTTTGTGCAAGGCGATTTCTGAGGTTATAAAAATATCACCCGCAGTCGCAAAGCACTTCCCGAGCCCTGCTTTCCCTCCTGCATCTCCCAGAGGAAAAAGCACCACAGGCTGGATTTGCTCTTACTTCAGGGTCCCCCAAAATAATCTTTTTTTCCCAAGTGTGGGCAAGGTGTCTTTACTGAGAAGATTCTTGGTGGTGATGTTTGCTATAATGGGGTGATGGAGACCTCTGAGCAGGTGGCAGCGATGTCCAACCATTCAATCCCTCCTGTGGTGATGGAAAAGTAATTTTGGGGTGTTTTGGGGTGGAAGGGATTGAAGGACACCTGGGGCTATCACTGCTCTGTTTTCTGCTGCCCTGAAGCTCCTGGCTGCTGTCAAGTTGAGGATTTCTCACCTCTGAGTCTCTCACCTTGAGGTGAGAATTGCAATTACTCACAGGAGCTGAGGAATTACAGCACCCTGCGCCCTTCCAGCAATTTGCTATGTCGCCTACCAAAAATAGCGATGATTCCTGGGATTTGTGGTCCTGGGGTCACCTCTAGATGGTCCTGGGCTGCTGAAAAGATGGCAGATCTAATTTTGCTGCTCACGAAGAGAAA